CTGCAACAGCTGAATTAGAGAGACCTGCAGTAAGAAATTCACCTCATTACAAAAACCTTAACCTCCCGCATTCTCCACCAACTTCCAGGTTGTGTTTTATGTGACAACCTCATTTAAATGCATATCTTTTCCATACCTGAAGAATTTCAAACATGCTATTTTGTTGCACCAATTTAATAAATATACCAATAGACATCGCCGCAAAAAAGTTCACTCAAGATACAACTAAAATCAATCCCGAATCAGGTTTGAATCGGGCAATATAGTAGTTCTACATCAAAAAAAAAAAACCCTTACGCATTCAAAGCAAATGATTAAAAACTGCCTAAAGCTTTGCTTTGATGAGGATACACCTATCAATAAAAACATAATAGATCTGGATCAGAGAGCTTGTTAGCTCGCCCACAACCACACTAGAACCCTATAGCACTGACAAAAGAAAGTAGGCACTTTTAACAAAGGCATATGAACAGTGAGGTCTTGAGCTCTGGGCTATATAGATTACTATATGATTACTAGAGCCTATGCTTGTGCATGCGTGATGTTATGTGTATGTGTGTGTGTGTGGGGGGGGTGTTGATGAGGCTCAGGTAGCCAGAGAGGCAGCTGGGCCATAACAGAGGATTCTGGGTGTGAGAATGCGAGCGGTGGAACCCTCTGGATCCCTGCCACTCATCTGGCCACCTTCCTAAGCAGGGCAGAAAATCAAACAAGTAGGAAAGAATTAAATAAAAGCAAGAAGAAAAATGATTTCTTATAAATAGCAGGCTTCGCCAGAAGGCATAGGAAATGAGAGCAGCGAGGCGCAGGAGAGGAGCTTGAGCTTGACACGGGTCTTAAAATTGAGAGGGGGCGGAATCAGGGACCTATTGCGCAAAATGGCTCCAACCAAAGCAAGGATTAGTGTTCCTGCCTCCACAGCCAAGATTCTCCAGAACAACTAATCACCTTCAAGTTCTCTCAGATTTTTTTTTCCCTTTTTCCTCCTCACTGTCTCTCGCTCTCCTTCTCACTCCCTTTCTCTCTCTCTATCCTCTTTAAAGTATCATTTCACCCCTCACAGCCATTATGGCTAAAATTAAGCAAAGAGTGTTCTGCCAGCGCCGATTAGACACATCCCTGGATCCGCGCTGAGGAGAAGGTGTCATGTCAGTTACAGCTCTGAGAAGAAACGTGCTTCGCCGAGACGCTCTACACAGGCATACTGAGAAAGCGACGTACATCTGTGCCACCCAGCGAAAAGACTTGTGGCGAGAATAGTTTAGATTCGGTTCAGAGGGCTAAAATATCAGCCGGCAATTAGAAACGAGGAGGAACGGCGTACAAAACAAAGCTTTTGTGCGGAACTTTTAATAGACTTCAGCGTGTTGTGAGTGAACAAGTGTTATACAACTCAGAATAAAGACAGATAATCTACTTTCAAGTGAGCTTAATTAAACTTATCCTGCAAGAATAAAAATGTACATGTGTTTACAGTTGTATGAATATTCTAGTAGCTGGAATTCGCTTTAATTAATTTACTACAAAACAACGGTTTGCATATCAGTCAAATGCATGCGGTGATCAATTAGCTTAATGCAAAGAAACAAACAAGCTCTTCTTTGTTGTTGCTTAAAGATACAAAATGCAGACATCAGCAAATCTCACGTTCACACTTTAACCCACTTACAACAAAAAGCCGAAGAACTGAAGTTTCATAATTAGTTATTGCAAGGATGTGCATAAGAATGCATGTTTACTTCATTTATAAACAGATGGAGTGTTTGCACACCTGTTTAATGTGACATTCTGCGAGAGATCTGCATCTCACAAGCACGGCTGCACCCGCAAAGGGCAGCGATGATATTGATAAAACAGACGTTTTATAATCACAATGATCTGGAGAACTGCACTGCCACAGGAAGTTTAAATGAGGCTTAGATAGGTCACCTTCAACTTTAAGAGTTTTGTCTGACCTTTAGTTCTTTAATGTCGAGCCGCTGGTTTTGAAAGAAAAAAAAGAGAGGAAGAAGGATGGCTGTATGATTTCTCTCCAGTCCTATTCAGAGATGAAATGGGCCCTGCATACTTGCAAATGACTGGGAAATATGCAAGTAATTTACCGTTAAATTCCATAACAGGAAAACCTAATTGTACAGCATGTCCAGCCTAATTGAATTGTTCTACAAGTGCATTACTGTTATGGAAATAATACTGACAGGAGTGATAAGAGATTGAACGGAAGACACTGAATGGAGAATAAAACTATTAGGCTAAAAGAAAAAGAAAAAAAAAATCATACACGGAAAGCAATTCAGTGAGATGTGTAAAACAGGACCAAAAATTTAAAATGAACAAATGATTATAAATTAACAATAGTAATACTACTAATAATTATTATGTCCATGCATGCACTAAAAATAAACAACAACAATTAAAATAATAATAAATGCTTCCGAATTAGAAGCATTAAAAATCACATGACTACTCATTCAATCTGATGTTTCAACTTACATGTTTTTACAAGCTACATATTTACACAAAAAAATGCTAATGTTTGCAATGTAAATAAAACACTAAATAACATGCTCATTTGTCAAAAATCCAAAAACAGCTTGATGCACCCACAAAAATGCCCTTTTGCTTGCCTAGACTGAAAAAGCCGCCCTCTTCTGGTCAAAGACTGAAGTGCAGTTGACCCTTCTACAGTTTTCCTGCAGTGGCCTCTGTCAACTAACAAAAGCAGCCACGTGTCAAAACAGGCTGTCAATTTCATAAAAGAAATTGACATGTGAAATGCAGGATGCGCTGAACAAACAAATATAAAGAAAATTTGCATCCACGCTTGTGTGCACCAAACACATTCAGCCAGTAAATACATGCTGCCAAGCCTTTCTTGCAAGCAAAAAGTACACAGATACATACATTTGCACATGCGTGCAATTATGCACTTTTGATGCAAATGTACGCATGTGCTTTATTGTATCAAGTTGGAAGCAAGAAACAAAACAATCTTGCGATAATAATTTTGCTGTGAATATTAGCCTTCGTTTGATTGATGCAAAGAACACGTGCAGTTATATTGAAAAGCTCATGAGTGATAATGTCGAATTGGGAAAGTAATATCACCAGTGTTTCCAAGATTCACTGACTAAAAAAATAAAAATCACATCACTCTTAAACACCGGAACTGCCTAAATATAATGAACCTTATGATCTCAAGCTACAGTATCTCTTTGACAGCAGGTTGTTTCAGCAATGATAGGTTAATGTAATTTCTCTTTTGTTTTCATTCAGTCATCATGGAGGAGATGTCCTTCCATGATGACATGCCGACGGTGAGCAACTTCATTTCAGCCCCGGAATATCTCACGCATGTGACAACACCTTCCTTTGTTGCCAAGAGTGTTGAACTGCTTTGAACTGCCGACTGACAGAATAGGGAAGCCATTCCAAACGCAAATGTAAATTATTGTTACTTACACGTTTAACCCTCTAGACACTGTTCTGTCCTCATATGTGGAGGAATTCTGAAATCATGTTGCCCTCTTTTGGCTGGCATGTGCGACTGCAGATTCTTTCCTGACATAATTACAACTGCTTGAAAATGGGCAGGTGTTTAAAAAAGGATAAAGGTGTGATATCTTGATAAGACGTTGAAGAATGTAAAATATGAATGTGAGATATTTGAAAATCAGATATGACAATGTTACAAATATAAAGGAAATGACCTTGCAGTTTCCTCACGCAGTATGGTACAAAAACATAAATGACTGGATTTGATAGATGAATTAAACTGCAATGACCTGCAAAAAAACCTGTAACAGAAACCCTGTAAAAGAAAACTTGAAAGAAAAAAAAACCTGTAAAAGAAAGTCAAACAACATAAAAAATAGTGACCTGTACTCATCACACTAGGCCATGCTACCCTGTAAATGTCTATTAATGAATATTTCCTTTTCAAACTAGCTCTATTCTCAACACATTTCCTCCTGTGCTTTCGTCTCATTTCGTACTCACTCGCTTTCTCTGCCTTCCTCTCCCTCACTCCTCCTCAGACCTGCAGGTCACTCCAGCAGGAACAGGAAGTATCCGTCCTCCTTTCCAGAGCTCACCCCTTTGTCAGTTTCCCCAGCGTTCTCCCAGCATTCCAGTCTTTGATTTCCCACTCGTCTGCAAAGATAAGAAACAAACCCCAGCAATGGGAACTTTCAGTGAATATCCTTTTCAGCCTCCACACCTACTATCTGTTTTGCTTTCTCTTTTTTTTCCTCCCTCGTTCATCTCTGAGCTCGGGGAAAGTGAAGAGGTGGGTAGTTTATTCAGTAATATTCAGAACGGTTGATCTAAATAAAGATGCTCTTCAAATTCCTGTGTATGTCTAATGGTCTATCATTGAGGGAGGATTACTGATCAGATTTAAACGGCTAAACAATGCTGAGTGGAAAGGAGGAGCGGAAAGAGAACTTTTGTGGTGATAGATGCACTATCGAGAATTTCAGTGGCTCATATTTCAAGCTGGTGAAATAGAGTCGTTTAAACGGCCTGTAGTGTCCAATATATAGCGGTAAATAAACGATAAGAGCTTGGTGATAAGCAACCCTCCCCACACTCTCTCCTCGCAGCTGAATCGATACGGCCTGTGCAGCATATCATTCATCTCATAAGTATAATGAATAGTTGTGTTATTAATCTCATCTTTATACAGGGGTAATATGATAGTTAATTCAACTCAGTTGAAATGAATGGAAATAAGTTAATCACAAACGCATCACTTAGGAAAATCAATTCGGGCGAGATATTCTAATAACAATACAAAGGCAATGAGCGCTAATTCCATCATGCATAGAAAGCAATATTTCACTCCGTTATTCTGACTAACGCATAAATGGAATATTTCACACTCTTTTCTTCAGTGAAAACAATATAGATTTTGATTTGCTTGCGAACAATTTTAATAAAAAGCTATTGATGGGATATTGATTGGTTAGCTCACGGCACAGCTCGTGGGCCCAGTGTGCAACAATCATTACACGCCATGCTTTTGGGTTCATTTCAACTCATATGGTCAATAAAGACTCCATATGCTCTTGGCCCTTTGAACACGTCGGGATGCTTTTTCCACAGCATCCTTTAAATCAAACTCTACTGTCAGGATGAGCCAGAAGAAATACTCAAATGTAGCAATGCTCCAACATCCGACTGACCATGAATCAAGATTATGCTGAAACACAAACATGTCGGGCAAATTGATACTTTATATCAATCTAATATAAAATAGAAAAAAATAGTTATTATGTGTTGGCAGTGCACTATGATTTCCACCATCACTGAAACTTTAGTAGTACATAGGTAAACTGAATTTAAAATTGGCCAGGGTTTCAAGTCTTTTCAGCTTTAATTTTCCAGGAATCACTTTTATGCTGTGGTTTCAAAATTTGTGGCATCCCTCAAGGCTCGCTGAGTGGTTCCTTGACTTCTTTCCCGTCTGTACCTTCCTTTAAGAATGTGATCTCTGAACTCCAAAATCTTATTTATCTCCATGTCACTTTGTAAAACCTTTATTCGTGTGAACATATCTTTTAAATGTGAGAGCCACTGGAGTAACGGCAATAAAAGGCTGAAGAGGGATCAATGCTGAACGCATTACGCCTCGGCACAGAGACTTGGCTTTAATAATCAAAAAATTGATCCATTAAGCTCAGCCTAATTCTTTGCCAAAACGGGAGCGGTGCTCAGTTTTCAACACATGGTTATGTGAAGAATTGCAATTTTTCACTGAGACTCTGGTCTAATGACACAATATTGAAGATAGATAGATAGATGGATAGATGGATAGATGGATGGATGGATGGATGGATGGATGGATGGATGGATGGATGGATGGATGGATGGATGGATGGATGGATGGATGGATGGATGGATGGATGGATGGATGGATGGATGGATGGATGGATGGATGGATGGATGGATGGATGGATGGATAGATAGATAGATAGATAAAGTTAAGAGCCATCATTCATGTAAAGAATAAAGATTGTTATAACTTTTTTTTTTCTTGAAGTGACCTAACATTTACCGAGTCCTTCTCACATGACTGTGATCATTCTCCACACACACTTCAAAGGTTACCGGATGTGCCCAATACAAAGCTGTAAGTGAGAGTTCCACTTTTGACACTAGGATTTACCAAAAAAGATTAAACCTTATCCATGCCACTCTGATGAGCTGGATCATGTGTGTCTATTCTACAGTGTAGGAGCAAACAGCAAAGTTTAAGAGAACAGATAATAGGGGGGAAGTGGATGAAAAGGAGCACAAAGGAGGTAAACAACCAAAACCCTCTGAAACAAGACCCGTGGCAGAGTCTTTTGGACCTCGGTTGATGTGCAGGTCGAGCATCACAGCGCAGAGACGCTTCCTCTGCGCCGTGTCCCTGGGCTGCCGCTGCAACTCAACACCAGCGATATCGATCGGACTCCTAAGCCTCCACCAACCTGGTCAAACCCGAGTCCTTTCTGATATTTACCCACTAAAGTATTCCCTTCTGCTAGCACTGCCAACCCACAAGACATGGAGGGAGAAAAAAAGTCAATTATATACAACGTGCTTGGTTTCCCCTCAAGGATGGAATCCACCCTTTCTAATCCGATCAATTCATGTCAGACAGGAGGCTGGATTCAGCGCTATCTCTGAAGTCCTGTAATCCAGGCTAAGTCTTCACACTGCCTGCCTCACCTCCACAAGAAAAGGGTTTGGTCCAGAGCGTGATACAGCAAATTAGCCGTAGTGTGCATTCAGACACACTGCAGTGGATGGGTGCCAGTGTGCTAACAGCTAAGCATAATTGGATAAGCAATTCAGCTAATTCCTATAGTCAATTCTACAGTTGGCACATACAATATAGGGGGACTGGGGCTAGTTGCCACACTTTTTATTTTCATTTTATTTTTGAAAGTCAATTTCTATATTAGCAGGTGTGTTGAAACACATAAAACAATAAAAAAAATTTGATGCCATTTCATAATAACAAACAGCAACATAGAAAAAATAAGTCTTTTGAAGAATTAAGGCATTTTTGATAATATTAATATTTTGAAGAATTAATAGTATTTTTTAGGCAATTTCTATAATAGCAGGCATACTGAAATTAAACAATATAAAATATATATATATATATATATATATGCCATTTCATGATAACATAAAAAGTAACAAAAAATATCAAACAATTATTTTAGCCACAAATACTGTAATTAATAAAGTGTACAAATTTACAACTTCAAAATACATGACAACTTGCCTCAACCTGAGCTGATCTTTCAATTAAAATCTACCTTCATCATATACTTGACTCTTGTCTGAATGTTTAATTATATTCACTTGTTTAAACATAAGGTGACGATATTATGCTGTAATTACTTTAGTTGACATAACTTACAAAAAAATATATTTTAATTTAAGAGGGTTTTGAACTAGATATTTGAAAGGTGTGACAATTAGCCCCAGTCTCCCATATTGTAGACATTCAGCAAGGTACAATCTGATATTTATTTTCCTTTTTTTTTTAATCCTTTTTTTACTTTTAGCCACTGGTGAACTATATCCAAGCAGTATATAACTTTGAAGTATTTGGCTGGTGGTGAGACATGGGAAGGTGTCCCATTACAGACACGCAAATGCTAACGGCCAGTGCGCACGGTAAATGAGCAGGAACGAGGAGAGAGTGCTGGGACACTTTAATTTCCACTGACATATTGTGCTTCATGTACAGTCTGAATGGCTCCATAAAGAAAGTGTAATGATGGTCCAGGACCCTGGCCAAATAGCTGACATGCACGGCTTCCCTGGTCAGCTCAGCACCGGGTTTGATCCGTCTCATTACACCAGTCATTCAAATAATGGGCAGCTATGGGAGCTCTGGTAAAGCTGCAACTAATACACATGCCAAAGTCTACATCATAGTGGTTCATTCTCACTGTCTGCTTAGTATGCACAGGTGTTCAGGGCTGAGAAAGTAAACATATAAATCTACATTTTTAATTTATAACATACTATAATAAAATTATATAAACAGATATAAAAATTCAAAATTACATATAGCAAAAATTTTATATGAATCATTTATCTAATTAGCATCATCTAAAAACTATGTAAAAATAATAATGTTATTTTAATGTTATATTATATTAGTAAAAAAATACTATAATACTACTAAAAAATACAATATACTTAATATAATCATTTTCTGAAATGTCCTCTAAAACTTACAAATACTAAATATAAAATGCATTACAATCAAGAACGTTCTAATCTGATTTTATATGAGAAACTGAAGGAAGCTCAGATAAATCATCACCTATAAAAGGATCTCACGATCCACAGTCTAGCAATAACGATATATTTTCAAACCGGTTCGTAAAAACAGCACTAAAGCTTGTCTACCGAGATCGGAAAAGAACAATAGCTCCTTATTCTCATTCAGATGAATGCATGGCAAGGAGAGGGAGAGGCGCGATAAATCGGCCACCCCTGCTCTTGTCTCGCTTCAAAAGAATCTGTTAGAGAGAGAGGGAGAGGGGGGAAAAAGCAGGGAGCAAGACCCACACGATGTAGTTCCAGCCAATTGCATTCCAGAGAAGTGACCATGGCTGGAGATAAACAATGCACAATAGATCACGCTCCTCAAAAGGTATAAAAGAAAGGCAGATGCCGCAGGAATAAGGCAATAGCAGGAGAAAAGGCATAATCCGTGTTTCTCCATCAATTCCGAAAAACATAATTGTTTAAATCCTTTATTCAGGACTGCCATTAACCCTGTGCAGGGTATGGCTGTAACAATCTGCATGTGAAGGGAAATAGGAACCTTTCTCTCTCTCTCTCCCTATGTGAGGTTGCCAGGCTCACCCTCTCCAAACCACAGCCAGAGCCAAAATCGCTTTAAATTGTTCCTCACTGTCGCAAACAAAAAAGCATTTAACACTCACCCATTGTGCGGGGACTGATCTCTCAACCACTCTAGCACCCCGTCAACACAAGCCCAGATATCCTTCCACAGATATGTAAACAGCCCACTAAGATTTCTTTGTTTGGATTTTGAAGCTGGGTAGGTTTGCCTTTGCTGCGCTTGCTTTTACAGCTTAGAAGCAGGTGGATGACAAAACATCAATCTCTCCAGGCACAATGTGTAGCACGCACGCTTGACACTCTACACAAGCAATATACAATCACACACTCCAATACAGGACTCTCAGCTGTAATGATGTGTGTTTGCTTAAAGGCAGCTTTACTGAATATTTGAGCATTTTTGGATTAAAAACACACAGCATATTAGAGCCTGTGAGGCTTAATGAAGGGGGAATTAGACACCAAAACATCCATAGACATCTGCATCCATAGCATCTGAGCAGAAAATGATAAGGGCAGGGGAAAGTTCTTTTGCACTGTTTATATTTTAACCGAAGTATTAATGCAAGACAGGTGCTGTAGTCTACTGGGGGAAAATAATTTTTTAAGTGGGGTGTTGCCACACTGGAAACCTGTCAGAGAACAACTGACATGCTGATATTTCTGAGATTCTGGCTACTGTATGTGTCATGCTATTTAGTCCAGTGAGTATTTCTCTGAATCAGTCTAAACACATAATCTTGGCTACAAATAATAATAATAATAAATAATTATTAAGGTTTCCACCATCTTGCCCAGTGAAAACAAATAAAGTTAATTTAACGTCATACACTGAAACACGCCTTGAACCAGATCTCATCAGTTCATTTATAATTAATTTAATAAACACATACTCTTTATCTTAAATAAATAAATGTAAATAAAAATAAGCACCTCTTCTATAATTACAGGATAAATACATTTAAAAAATGTTCGAAATGAGCCAATCGAATCAAAAAAAAGATGTCCTGATAGCCAAGTAACAAAAAAAGCAGCAAAGTATAAAAAGGGAAACATTTATGAAATACAAAACTATCCATGAAACAGCGAACATATAAAAGGTAACATACAATAGCATCGATCGATTTGAACAAATAATTACTACAATAATGTATGGTTTGATAAAAACGTGACAACTTGCCCCTACCTGAAAATATCAGTCCTGAAAATACTGTTCAAGCTCTTCACAAGTTAGTTGACTATATCTTGTTGTCTAATATTTGCAAGTCTGGGTTTATTGCGTTCACTTGTTCACCCAGCAAATACAACAAAAGTATGACGACGCTGGAATTTTAGTTTGGAGAACAGAAGTCATAAAACTGTGTTTTTACTGCTGCAGTAAATGCTTCCAGAATAATTGCATCACCTGGGGCGTTTTAGCCTAACGTTACCTGTTGCACTGTGTAGTTTGCTTGTTTTGATTTTGGTTAAGCGAATATAAACACCCATCAAGTGATTAACTAATGCTGCGTTCACGCCATATCGGAATTCCCGTAATTACGAGATTCCAACTTCTAAAAAGCGTTCACGTCCTCGTAGAACTCCTAATGACAACTCATGAACTGGGAGTTTTCTGAGAGCTACGACTTGTACCACGTGACCACTGCAGGCTCTTCTTCTTCTTCTTCTTTAGTTTTTTGGCGCATAACAATCTAAATGTATAGCGCCACCTACAGTACGTTGCTGTTGTGCAGTCATGTTAGCTATTATCTTCAAAGTGACTTATGAACATAAAAAAATTAGGGGGGGGGGGGAATATATAATTCTCCATAAACTCTTCCCTTTACCAGATTCCCAGGTTCCAGGGACCCATCTGCCGCTGCGTCTCCAGCTCCTCCAGAATACTTCCTTGGTTCCCTAAAATCCAGATCAGGCTACAGCATCCCTGTTTGATTTTAAATCCTCTCACTCAACCCTGTACTATAAATGTAATTTTTTTAACATGTTTTAACAATTTTATTAAACTCATCCTAACAAGTACCCCAAATCCTTATTTACCCTTCCCTTTTTAAGTATGTTATTAATTCCTTTCTTTCTTCATCATATTTTTTACAATCGTATATTACATGCTCTACTGTTTCTTTTTCCCCACAATACTCACATAAACCATTCTCATGTACTCATGTACAGTAATAAATAGTGATGCATTCAGTCCTGTGTCCAAGTCTCATCCTTGTTATAATGACTTGTTCCCTCCTGTTTCTACCACTAATGTTTCATTTATTATTAACGGTTTTTTATATATATTAAATAAATGCCTTCCCTTATTATCTGAATTCCATATTTCTTGCTAATCCTTTAAAATATTTTCCATAATTATAGTTTTGACTTCATCTACTTAAAGTAACATTAACATCTACTTCTGCCTTTTTTAAAAGCATCTTTTGCCAATTTATCAGCTGTTTCATTTCCCAATATGCCCACATGTGCTGGCACCCAGCAGAAACCAACTAATACACCTTTTCTTTGTACACGCCATAATAATGTCAATATTTCACTTAAGTCTTCTCTACATGAATGATGGGTGGACAATGATGTTACATTTACATTTAGTCATTTAGCAGACACTTTTATCCAAAGCGACTTACAAATGAGGACAATAAAAGCAGTCAAAACTAACAAAAGAGCAACAATATATACAGTGGGTACGGAAAGTATTCAGACCCCCTTAAATTTTTCACTCTTTGTTATATTGCAGCCATTTGCTAAAATCATTTAAGTTAATTTTTTTTCCTCATTAATGTACACACAGCACCCCATATTGACAGAAAAACACAGAATTGTTGACATTTTTGCAGATTTATTAAAAAAGAAAAACTGAAATAACACATGGTCCTAAGTATTCAGACCCTTTGCTCAGTATTTAGTAGAAGCACCCTTTTGATCGAATACAGCCATGAGTCTTTTTGGGAAAGATGCAACAAGTTTTTCACACCTGGACTTGGGGATCCTCTGCCATTCCTCCTTGCAGAGCCTCTCCAGTTCTGTCAGGTTGGATAGTAAACGTTGGTGGACAGCCATTTTTAGAGACATACCTCTCTCACCAAGGCTCTTCTCCCCAGATAGCTCAGTTTGGCCGGACGGCCAGCACTAGGAAGGGTTCTGGTCATCCCAAACGTCTTCCATTTAAGGAATGGAGGCCACTGTGCTCTTGGGAACCTTAAGTGCAGCAGAAATTTTTTTTGTAACCTTGGCCAGACCTGTGCCTTGCCACAATTCTGTCTCTGAGCTCTTCAGGCAGTTCCTTTGACCTCATGATTCTCATTTGCTCTGACATGCACTGTGAGCAGTAAGGTCTTATATAGACAGGTGTGTGGCTTTCCTAATCAAGACTGTGAGAAAGGCTGAGACTTGGTTGAACACAACTCGTTCAAGTGTTTTTGCAATGAAAGGTAGAAGGGAAACTGGTCTGTAGTTCTCTAAAAGAGCTGGTTTAAGAGTGGGTTTCTTAAGAAGTGGGGTTATACGAGCTTGTTTAAATGTTGAGGGGAAAACATCAGTGTGAAGGTTTGTGTTAACGATGTGAGTGAGTGCAGGTATAACGGCAGGAGAAATGGCTTGAAGGAGATGAGATGGAATAGGATCAAGCGGACAAGTAGTAGGATGATTGTAAAGGGTGAGTTTATAGACTTCTGCCTCAGAGAGTGGAGAGAAGGATGAAAACGAGTGTATGTTTGCTGGTAAGATGTGTTTGACAGTTTGTGGTGTGGAAAATGTTAACACAGAAGCAGAATCAGAGCATATCACTACTCTGTCTGGTCTTACCTCTTCAATCCACATCAATCCTATTATGATAGAGACTATTTCAATAGCATATATTGATAGCTTAGATGATACTCTTTTAGTTATTGATACATTCAAGTCCGGGATAAAAACTCCTATTCCTGCAAGCCCTATATTTGGGTCTTTTGATCCATCTGTATAAATATGCGTACTCGCATAAAATCTTTGCTGTAAATGTCTATTCACTATATATTTAATATTACACATTTCCTCCCAGTCCCTTTTCTTGTCTAGTATTTCCAAATCAGTTTTAACTTCAGGAATTAACCAAGCTGGTACCTCGCCCCATACTGGAGACATACTACATTCTATATTTGCAATCTGATATCTTTCTGCTAGTTGATTAATATTCCATCCAAAACCCTTCCCTTTTTCCTTTGTATATTCCCAACAATTATTCAATACATCTTTAGAAATATGTTATCCAGCATGACTCTTCATTGATGTCCAATATACTAGGGACAATTTTACTCTACGTAAACGTAAGGGCATTTAATTTGCCTCTACTAATAGTGCATTGACTGGAGTTGTTTTAGTTGCTCCTAGACATATCCTGAGTGCTCTGTATTGTATTCTATCTAATCGTATTAACAATGTTCCTGATGCTGCATCATACACCATACATCCATAGTCAAGTATAGATCTAATCAAGGCTTGATATATTGTTAACATAGTTTCTCTATCTGCTCCCCACTCTTTTCCAGCAACTGATCTCATCACATTTAAAATTTTCCTGCATTTTTTATCTGTTTCTTCAATATGTTTCTTCCAAGTATAACTTTCATCTAACCAAATTCCCAGATACTTAAAAACATGAACTCTTTCTAAAGGTTTACCTTAAAATACCAGCTCAGTGCCTGTTGGAACTTCCACCGCAGGCTCTGTTTAGGCGTTGATAATGTTGCCATAGAGAAGCATATTTCCGAGTCCGAGGCAGTGTTGCCAATTTGGTGATTTTGTCGCCAAATTTAGCGAATTTCTCATTGTAGCTGCGACTTTTTTTTTTTTTTTGCGACAAGGAGCTATTTCAGCTATATTTAAATAAAACTAGCGATTTTTTGGAGATTTTTTATTTGCCCACACCCTGCCGTAGGCCTGTGACCTCTCACGTTTGCTCTCAATCATGCCAATGATGAGTCTGCACAGTGAACACATCAGTACGCCACGCCTGCCATGGCGCACACCACAATTTCATTATAAGCATCAATCAAGATGGAGGAGAAAAAAATGAACATGTTGTTTTTAACCACGGACACAAAAGTTATACCACAATTCATGCACAGTCATGTCAACCAGATACTGAGAGAGAGACAGTGCATCATCATGTCGTGTGTGCTGGGATGCAGTATTTTGCACTTACTTTGCAGTAACAGAGTGTGTTGACTGAAATAAGTTTGTATGAACAAAGTTTTTGTTTTTGGAGAATCATAATATCTCTTATCTGTTGTATTTGCACAGGACAGGGATGCACTTTGGTGACACATAAAACAAATTCCCAACATTATGTGTCTTTTGTGTCTTTCCATCATTTCCATCGTGGTTGGAAGTGATTTTAGTGATTATATGGAAGCCTATTTGCTCGCTTTCTAGGCAGGCTATAATCAATTCAGAATTTGAATTAAAGTTTTGTTTTACGAGCTGCTAACAGGACCAACAGCCACAAACCCTGTACATGCAGCAAAGTTTCAGGAGTGACTGAAAAAGAACGGATGAGATACAGGAAAGTC